CCTGACTACCTGGAGGAGGAGCCCCAGGCCTCACCTCCACCTCCGTCTCCTGCCTCCCTTCTCAGATGTGGGCTTGTGCCCTGGGACACCTGGAAGCTGCTGTGCTCCTTTTCCGTTGGAACCGACATGCACTGAGCATTCCCGATTCTCTGGGCCGTCTGCCATTGTCTGTGGCTCATTCCCGGGGTCATGTGCGCCTTGCCCGCTGCCTTGAGGAACTACAGAGACAGGAAGCTTCGGTGGAGCCCCCGCTTGCCCTATCGCCACCCTCCTCCAGCCCAGACACTGGTGAGCGTGGCCCTAATCTTTTGGAGAGAGGGATATGGATAGGAGAGGTCAGGGCAAACCCAAAGTGTGGGAAACAACAAGTACGAGAGGAGACAAACCACAGAGACAGAGATGGGAGATAACAGAAGCAAAAACAGGGAGACTGAGAACAGGGTGGGGGAGGCAGGAGACTCAAGTGAGGGATGGCCATGGCTCCTGCTGCCCTCACTCTCTTCCCTCCCCACACAGGTCTGAGCAGCGTCTCCTCACCCTCGGAGCTGTCAGATGGCACTTTCTCCGTCACATCTGCCTATTCTAGTGCCCTAGATGGCAGTCCTCCCCCTGCACCTCTGCCAGCCTCTGAGATTACTATGGAGGACATGGCCCCAGGCCATCTTTCTTCTGGTGCCCCAGAGGCCCCCCTGCTTCTCATGGACTATGAGGCTACCAATTCCAGGGGGCCTCTCTTCTCCCCTCCTGCCCTCCCACCAGCCTCAGATGATGGGGCTACTCCAGAGGATGATGACAGCGCACAGGCTGTGGATGTGATCCCGGTAGTGCTTATATTGATGGAGTTATGGGGGCTAGAAGTGGAGTAGGGTGTAGAGATGGGGTGAGGCCAGCTTCCATGAAGCAGAATCAAAGTCTGGCTTCAATTTAGGAAGGGGCCATTTACTTCATTTTGGGACAGGCAAAGTAGGCTTTTGCTTAGCTCCTTTCAGACCATGTGAATTGGAAGTCATGAGGCAGCAGAGGTTAAAAATTCTGGGTGGTCCCATAATTTAGATGTTGGGAAATTTTTTTTGCCGGGCTTGGTAGCTCATGCCTGTAATCCCAGCACTTTTGAGAGGCTGAGGCGGGTGGATCACTTCAGGCCAGGAGTTTGAGACCAGCCTGGGTAACATGGCAAAACCTCATCTCTACAAGAAATGTAAAAATTAACTGGGCATGGTGGCACATGCCTGTAATCCCAGCCGCTTGAGAGGCTGAGACACAAGAATCACTTGAACCTGGGAGGCACAGGCTGCAGTGAGCCGAGATTGTATCACTGCAACTTCAGCCTGGGTGACAGAGCAAGACTCTGTCTTAAAAAATGTTTAAAAAGGCAAAAAACATAAAAAGTATTAAAAATTCTGTCTGGGTACGATGGCTCACACCTGTAATCCCAACACTTTCAGGGAGCAAGGTGAGAGCATCACTTGAGGCCAGGGGTTTGAGACCAAGTCTGGGCAACATAACAAGAACCCCATCTCCACAGAACATAATTTTTAAAAAATTATGTAATTGTAGCTACTTGAGAGGCTGAGGTAGGAAGACCCCTTGACCCCAAGAAGTATGAGGTTGCAGTGGGCTGACCTTGCCACTGCACCTCAGCCTGGGCAACAGAGACCCTGTCTCTGTAACAAAAATTCTGGGGAATATCTTCAGTTAGAGGCTGGGTGGTAGGAGTTACCTGTTAATCCATGTAGGGACAAGGTTCTAGGAGAACCAGGATGATGGAGGGCAGCTGGAAGTTGTGTGGAGCGGTAAGGTTGGCAAGATGAGGGTATCTGGCAGTGATCTGATGCAGGAAGGAAGCTTGCACAAGATAAAGCTGAGAAAGTCTTATGGAATGAAAGTGAATCTTCAAGTACAGTCTTGTTCTTCTCTGCTAGACTTTTGGGACATATCTGCTTTAGAGAGATGAATAGAGTAAGTGGGTGGCATTTTAAGTACAAAAAACTTTGAGAACTCCACAAGTAGGCTGTACTGAGTGTGTCCAGCAGTAAGTGCTGAAGCAAAGGCCAGATGGGAGCCATTCATCAGGTTAATAGTTGGCAAGCGTTGGGCTGGTTCCTGGTGAGCTGAAGGGGAGTAGGGGGTGGGCACAGCCAAGCATATGAGGATGATGTGCCGGCCGGCTGGCATAAGGCAGGCCCAGGTAGGACAGTGGATGGTTGGCCTAAAAGGGTGTCAAGTCCTCCATTTGTTCAGCTTCTGAATCCTCATTTGGAGTATCTCCTTTTTATCCTATATTCTCCATAGCATCTCAGCACAGAGGGACCCCCAAGTGGCAGCCCAATCAGTATAAATGAATGAGTCTGGAATAGTGACCCAGAAAGACCAATGCCTGCCAGTGAGAGAAGGAACGAGAAAGGAATGGATTGAGTTACAGCTTTGGCAGGGCAGGAACATTGGGCAGGTGGGGCCCCTAAGGGTTCATTCAGCTTGTCCCTCCATCCAGGTGGACATGATCTCACTGGCCAAGCAAATCATCGAAGCCACACCAGAGCGGATTAAACGAGAGGACTTCGTCGGGCTACCTGAGGCTGGAGCCTCAATGCGGGAGCGGACAGGGGCTGTGGGGCTCAGTGAGACCATGTCCTGGCTGGCCAGCTACTTGGAGAATGTGGACCATTTCCCCAGCTCAACCCCTCCCAGGTGACCAGCTCAGGACAAAGCCTCCAGATTCTTCAAAGGAAGTGGGAGGAAAGGAGAAAGCTGGTTTTCCCACAGCCAAAGCTCCTTTCTGGCAGAGGCCCCAGGGCCTTGGAGAAGGGAACTGAACTGGCTGATGAACTCTTAAGCCGCTCTCCAGATTCCTTCATAGCCATCCATAGGTGGCAAAAGAGGGACTTTAGATGCTTCATGACACCCTCTTTCCCTATCCCCCACAGCGAACTGCCCTTTGAGCGAGGTCGCCTGGCTGTCCCTCCAGCACCCTCCTGGGCAGAGTTTCTCTCTGCATCTACCAGTGGCAAGATGGAAAGTGATTTTGCCTTGCTGACACTGTCAGATCATGAGCAGCGGGAACTGTATGAGGCAGCCCGAGTCATCCAGACGGCCTTCCGGAAGTACAAGGTCAGAGGGGGCACGGGTCTCAGGATGAGCTACACAGTCTTGAACTGGGAGACCGTGGGCTCCTCGGGCTTTTGGAGGATGAGTAGTCATGCAGACAGGTCTTGGATGGGGTAAAGGGCCAGAGGAACTCCAGAAAAGTTGGAGGGACAAATCAGATATCCCATTATGTGGGTCATGAGGTGCTGAGACTTCTTTTCCCTCAGGGCCGGCGGCTGAAGGAGCAGCAGGAGGTAGCAGCAGCTGTAATCCAGCGCTGTTACCGGAAGTACAAGCAGGTGAAACCCTTCTCCCTCAAAAGCGTACCCACCAACCCATACCCACATCCACACCCACGCCTAACCATTCCACAATGTTGCCAGAGCCCTAACTCCCCTTCTCTCTCCACAAGCTGACCTGGATTGCACTTAAGGTATTAGGCATGAGGTCTGAGTGTGAGTTGTCTGTGACGATTCAGTCTTTTCTTGAGTGTGTGGGTTAGAGAAAGAGCCTTGCATCAGCCTAACTTGGGTGACCCTCAGGGCTTTGGGTCTCTGTCCCTCTATTTCAGCCCCTGTCCCTCCTCCCCACCCCTGCAGTTTGCACTCTATAAGAAGATGACCCAGGCGGCCATCCTGATCCAGAGCAAGTTCCGAAGCTACTATGAACAGAAGCGATTTCAGCAGAGCCGCCGAGCGGCTGTGCTCATCCAGCAGCACTACCGCTCCTACCGCCGCAGGCCTGGGCCTCCCCACCGGCCCTCGGCCACCCTGCCTGCCCGCAACAAGTAGGGTCTACCCCCAGCTCTCTGTGCCCACCCACTGTGTCCAAGCCATTCCCTGCCTAGGGTTCCTGGGGGGCTGAAGGCATGCGGTGCCTGGGGGTTCTGTGAGGTCCATCTTTTGTTTCTTTCACCAGAGGCTCCTTTCTCACCAAGAAGCAGGACCAGGCAGCCCGGAAGATCATGAGATTCCTGCGGCGCTGCCGACACAGGTACTCATCCCTTCTTCCCCTAGGCTTTTGCGCTGCCACCCGTCGGGATCCACCAGTCTCCCCTGACTCTTATTCTCTCTGCAGGATGAGGGAACTGAAGAAGAGCCAGGAGCTGGAAGGGCTTCCCCAGCCGGGACTGGCCACCTGACCTGGCCACCGACTTTCTCACCACCCTGGGGGTGCCTCGTGCAGTCTTAACAGGGAGAGGGCTTTCTGGGGCAGGGGGCTCCCCGGTCGGCAGCTTTCCCGTTCACCTTTGCTGGAGCCCTTCTTAGGCCTCCTCCCTCCTCCCCATGCCTTGCTCCCAAACCCATCTCCTCTTCCCTCTTGGTTGTGCCCCGTCTCTTTTGGTCCTGGCTCCAGAAGACCCGCGCCCCACATACCTGCATCTTCCGCTGTGACCTCCGGAGACCTGCCTGCCCCTGGTCCCCAGCTCCTCCTGCCTGCACCCGACTCGGCCCCACTCCTGACTTGCCTTATTTATTTGTTCGACACGTCTCTGAATGTATCCGCCTCGGTCCCCACCTCAGCCTTCGCTGCGCACGCCCCTCGTATTTCAGGGCTGACCGTGCCCACCACCCGACTCCGCATGTTTGCGTCTCTTTCCTCCCTCTCTGGCCCTGTGTTACCCCATCACCCGACTCTGGCCACCGACCTCAGGGCCGAAGGGGAGGGGGTGTACAGAGGAACGCGTTGCGGAGTCTGCCCCGTCCCCCGAGGGGAGGGGGCTTGTACATACTGTAAGATACAGAGTATAGTGAAGAATCTATTTAACGCGCCGCAGGGAGGGCTGCACGGCCGGGCTTGTGGTTCTCTGGCGCGGCGGGGGCCACCTGCCAGCTCCACGGGCACTTTCTACTTGTGCATGGGCTTGGTTTATACGAATTGCCATTAAACATCGCTGCACCAGCAAGCCTCCGGCCTCTGTCTGCGGGGACGGGGCGGGGCGGGGCGGGGCCTCGGCCGGCTGGAAGCAGCCACGCGCCCCGGGCCTCGGATCTGCGCCCAGGCAGGGCGGGCGCGGAGTTTTCCGCCTCCGACGTGTTTCCGGCCTTAAAGGCATTCCGCCCTTCCCTTTAAGACGCACCGCCCCCCTCTCAGTCACTCCCAAGATGGCGGACCTACTGGGCTCCATCCTGAGCTCCATGGAGAAGCCACCCAGCCTCGGTGACCAGGAGACTCGGCGCAAGGCCCGAGGTGAGGATCCCAAATTCACAACCGCCTTCCTTAGCCCGGTTCTCGAGACCGCACTTTTCCCTCTTTGGACAATGCCGCCGCCTCAACCTTGAAAGACCCCCCTCACAGGCCTCTTCCGAGACCCTCAGAGTCCCTAAAAGGGCTGCTGACACGCCCGGTGTTCTTAGCGGACAGTGATTGGCTACCTGAAAGATAGCGCTAGCCTCCTGCCTCCTCTCCCGACCCGGGCCTTCCGTAGTCCTTGTTTCCCATTAGCCGGTCGGCCCGCCTGTCCGCTGCTTGGCTGCTCTGATTGGTAAGATGCCTCCAACCTGTCGCACTCCTTCCCCGCCCACCTCTAGCTCTATTTCGATTGGATTTAGGGCACGCCCATCCGCTATGCCTTCATCTCTATTGGCTATCTCAACTTAAAGCTCTGCCTCCTGAGACCTGTTCGACCTTCCTTCGGACCCACCCCAGCCTCAGCACTCCCATTGGTTGACGGGTCTTCCGTGTCTTCTTGCCCCTCCTGCTTCATTTAACCCCGTCCCTTCTGCCTTCTTCCGACAACCTTTTTGTCATCTGTAGCCTTAAATTCCCAAGCTGTCCGGGCGGATCGTGGTGTTGATTGGAGGAGGGATGAGAAAGCCCGCCGGGTCCGATTGGCCACTGTCTCCGCCTGCATTCTCTGAGTAGCTTCCTTGCGGGCGGGTTGGAGTTCGGCGGCCGGCGTAGGGCGCAGCCCGGTGGGACGATGGGAGTTTCCCTGGGGTTGCTTGTGCCGCTGCGGGATGACCCTGGCGGAACGCTGAACTCCAACTTCCAAACCTGCCAGCCTTGAGCGCGGACGAGCCCTATCCCGGCTCCTCACCGTGCCCCAGGGGGACCAGGGCAGGCAGGACGCCTTCAAATGTTTAAAGGCTGCTGAATACCTACACTTCGTCCCTTATTTCTTGAACCACTGTTAGGGGCCAGGGATACCCCTCAGGCCAAAATCCGGAGCTGGGACACTCATTGATACAGTGATCTCACGGAAGTTTAATAACCAACTTGATAGTGCTCTCAGAGAAAAATAATTGTGAGAGCGGCCACCTGAGGTTCTCCCCCAGTCAAGAGTGAGCTGAGATCAGAACAGATGATTCCGTAAATGAGAGAGAGAAGCAAAGCGTTACAGGCAGAAGAGAAGCCTATCTGAAATCTCTGAGGAAGAAGGAAGCATGATGGGAATGGGGAACTGGAATTCTTTAATGCTCCGATGACTGTCTAAGTGGGGGATCACCAGCGGCGTTGACAGACTAGGAAGCTTAAGGTAGTCACTCGCCTGAGGTCACATGGTTGGTTTGGTAGGTGGCAGAGTTTCAAACCCAGATGTGACTGGGTTAGAAGCCTGTTTTTGTTTGTTTGTTTTTTGAGACACAGTTTAGCTCTTGTTGCCCGAGCTGGAGTGCAATGATGCGATCTCAGCTTACTGCAACCTCCACCTCCTGGGTTCAAGTGATTCTCGTGCCTCAGCCTCCCGAGTAGCTGGGGATTACAGGCGTGTGCCACCAGGCCCGGCTAATTTTTGTATTTTTAGTAGAGATGGGGTTTTGCCAGGTTGGCCCGGCTGGTCTTGAATTCCTGACCTCAGGTGATCCGCCCACCTTGGCCTCCCAAAGTGTTGAGATTACAGGGGTGAGCCACCACACCTGGCCTGAAGCCTGTGTTCTTAACCATAATCTTATGTCACTTCTCTAGATGCAGAGAAGAATCGAAACCAAGTAAAAACCGAGTATAAACTGGTAGCTCACACCTGTAATCCCAGCACTTTGAGAGGCCGAGGTGGACGGACTGCTTGAGCCCAGGAGTTCAAGACCAGCCTGGGCAACATGGAGAAACCATGTCTGTACAAAAAAAAAAATACAAAAATTGGCTAGGCGTGGTGGCTCTAGCCTGTAATCCCAGCACTTTGGGAGGCCGAGGCAGGCCCATCACAAGGTCAAGAGATCGAGCCATCCTGGCCAACATGGTGAAACCCCGTCTCTACTAAAAATACAAAAAATTAGCTGGG